GGCTGGTGCGCGGCGTACAGACCGACGGCGATCTCTTCGTTGGATGAGGGTAGCAGGTCGGCGCCTGCTTCGGCGAGGACCCCCAGCATCTCCCCACCTGAGATGGGCACCAGCACGGCGCCGTCCTCCAGACAGGCGGCGGCAGCCAGCGTCAGCACGGGCCTCACCGCCAGCCAGCGGTTCGCCACGGGTTTATAGGCGGCCGGCGGCGCGCCGTCCGGAGCCGACCGGCGCCAAAGGTACGTCATGAGCGGCGTCGGCCGCGTCTCCTGCGAGGTCGAGTTCCTCTCCCCGTCGGCGTAGAAGGTGCAGCCGCCTGTCTCCCACACGTCGAAGCCGACGCAGGCGTCCGTGGTGGCGCAGCTGTTGGCGCAAGCTTCGGTCGTCGCGTCAGCCTCGTGGTGCAGCGTCCCGCTGAGAGCCAGCTCGCCGGCGGCGCCCTTCTCCAGATGGCCCGCCCTCTGGCAGTGGCCGTGCCTGTTGCCCGTGCGCGGTGGCACGCAGAGGCAGGTGGGCTGCTGGCACTCGGCACCTGGCGTCAGCTGGCAGCTTGTGGGGCACGGCGCGCCCACCACACCCCGCCGCTCGGACCACACCCAGGCGGCCGCGCTGGGACGCAGAAGGGCGTGGTAGGACGCGGAGGCGGCTAGCTGGCAGCGCTGCTGGCCGGTGCTGAAGCCGAAGGCCTGACAGGCGGGCGAGGCGAGACAGCGGAGCTGGCACACGCAGGCCGACACGCCGTCCAGCGCGAGCAGCAGCCCCGGCCCCGTCAGCGAGAGCTCCCCCCCAGTCGACCGGTACATTGTCATGAAGTGATCAGGCACCGGCTGGGCAGTGGCGGCCGGCAGCGTTCGCATCAGCAGCAGCACCAGCAGTGGGAGCCGACAGACGGCCATGCTGGCTGAGTTTTTGGTTGGACTCTCTCCGCTGACGCAACAGGGTATGGTCTGTGGCGGCCACACCTGAATTTCACGCAGATAAGACCACTTGTCCGTCACTGCTTCTTCCAGCCTTCTGTCACGGCTAGATCGCGAGTCCAGCTTAGTCCAGCCCCCCCCCCCCCCCCCCCCCCGAGTCGATATTGCACGTCTTCGGTATTGACAGGGCCACAGAACTGTTGCTATGGAGGGACGCCTTTCATTGGATTTGCGGTGAAACTGTGATGGGCCGTCGGTATGGATGCTGCGTTCTACTCCACCCAGGACACACGACGGTCCAAACCATCAATGTGCATTGGAAATTACATAGTAGCATAGCAACGATAGACTGATACTTTATCTTGTAACTTAACTTGAAACTGGTGTTGCGATGCCGAGCTTTACGTCTGCAGATTTTATTGCGAGGTAACAGAAGACCGCAGACAGGATACCATGCGCTGGGACCTGTCGCCGTAAGCCGGAAGGTACGAGGGTGTCACCGCAACTTAGATCACGTGCTCCTGCGGATATGAAACACATTTATTCATGGACTTCTGCGGACGACCAATCAGCGCTGGCGGTGTTTATCTGATCAGCAGTCTGACGGTACCTGGCTGAACGGCAGTCTGACGGTGCCTGGCTGATCGGCAGTCTGACGGTGCCTGACTAATCGGCAGTCTGGCGGTACCTGGCTGATCAGCAGTCTGACGGTACCTGGCTGAACGGCAGTCTGACGGTGCCTGGCTGATCGGCAGTCTGACGGTGCCTGACTAATCGGCAGTCTGGCGGTACCTGGCTGATCAGCAGTCTGACGGTACCTGGCTGAACGGCAGTCTGACGGTGCCTGGCTGATCAGCAGTCTGACGGTGACTGACTGATCGGCAGTCTGACGGTGACTGGCTGATCGAAACCCACACACAGATACCCGACCAAAATGGGGACATCGGCGACTCAACACGGGTAAGCACGTGTCCTCTTCGCCGCAGCCTCAGCGCTCGAGATTCTCAGTGTGCCGACTCCAGGGCTCGGTGGTGCTATCGGCCGTGGCGGAGACATGAACTTACAGATTAGCCAATATCTGTACAGCTAAGACGTGGTACGTACAAAGGTCATGGTCCGGAAAAGACACACTGTTGGGAGAAGAAACTGAGTTTTTGTGACGCGCCCGCTCGTCAGACTTGTGTTCGACATGCGGTGAATCGTGAGTCGGCTGTTAATTTTTTTGGGGTGAGTCGTGAGCTAGGTCGGCTAGTTAGGAAATATTCTCTTTTGAGCTATGAGCTGAACCACATGTTCGGCAAACTTCGTGAGCTAAATGGCCAGCTGATTATTTCTAACAATGTCGTGCCAGTGAGCCACAAGGCTGGAATGAAAATGGTAACATGAGAAAGCACAGAATACCCTAGACAGATTAGCATGCTATCTCAGTGTGTTAAAATGAATAGCACGCTACATGAGTTCAGATATTTTTTGCAAAATGAGCGCAAAGCTTGTTCCGGTGCGTTCTGAGCAACAAGCACAGTATGATTGGTCCTGATGTACAGTTTACAAAATGTCATCCAGGAACCAAAGGGTCTTACGTAGCATAGACATCCTGCTTTCCTATATGCTAAGCTTAAACCAGTGAAAGCTTGTGTGCTACCTCTAAATTCAACGGTTGGTCACATTACTCATTGTCAATTGCCACGATAACGAAATAATCCATACCGTACCCTCCTTTACTACTCACCCTACCATAGGCGTGGGAACGTTTCGGAGAGTGGGGGGGGGGGGGGGGGGGGTAGCGGGCTCAGGGTATTTAAGGAACTTTACTTGGAAGGCGTTTACCTACAACTGCAGGTAACACACATGCCTACAATTGTTTTCTGCTGCTACTCAATCAGAGAGAGATGACAAAACTTCTGTCAAATGTCATGACATGTCAAAATACGGCCTGGTTACGGACTGATCAGAATTTATCATTTGAATTCACGCCCCATACAGTACACAAAAGATTTTAGAGTCTGGATTTTGCCGACTGCCTTACAAGAGGCAACTGGTTTGATCGCAGCATGTTAGGCATAAATGAATTCTGGAACTTCAAGTACTACGTGCCAAAAATAAAGTGGCAAAATCTATATGACCGGGGATTCTCCTGAAAATGCCAGACACAGGACGAATGCCCTTCTTTCAGATCTTCCTTATCTGAGCCCTACTCCCAACCGCCGTGGGCAGCCATTGACCTCGACCGGCTACCTCCGCGTGACTACGAACTGATCGTGAGACCTCTTTGCTGCATGTTTATCGACGAGAATCTCTATTTGTTGGTGCATAATGCAGATGGGACGCCTGTCTCGGTACGTTGGTCCTAATTATCATCCCTTACACCACACAACAGAAAATAGAACTCCGGGAAACTGTCTGCCTTAGGCGCTAATTGGTCCACAGTGCATACATGTACCCCTGCTTTAATATAGCC